TCACAAAGAGAGGTAACTCAACCTCGCGGTCAGTTACCGTAGTAACAGACTCCGTGAACCTAACCTGCTCGGGAGCAGGTTTAACTCAGTAAACCCAGAGTTTCAGGTGAGACATCGGCATTTTTTTCATTTTGATCATGTTTTACATTGTCAAGTAAGTATTAAGTGGCAGTTTGATCCCTTAAAAAATGCTCTTTTCACACTCAAAACTGAATTTTACTCTCTTATTATGTTCCGTTAAATGATTAGGAATATTAAACTAACACAGCCCCACGGAGGAGAGGAGCTGCCGCCCCCCCCCCCCGTTCGACGATCGCGGCCGGTCCGATCGCAACCCCCCCCAGCAGCGATCGTCGGACTGGTGTGCGTGTGCCTGTGTGTGTGTGTGGGGGGGGGGGATTTGCGATCGGACCGGCCGCGATCGTCGAACGGGGGGGGGGGGGGGCCGGCAGCTCCTCTCCTCCGTGGGGCTGCTGGGCCACTACCCGTTTTTGTGTTAGTTTAATATTCCTAATCATTTAACGGAACATAATAAGAGAGTAAAACTCATTTTTGAGTGTGAAAAGAGCATTTTATAAGGGATCAAACTGCCTCTTAATACTAACTTGACAATGTAAAACATGATCAAAATGAGAAAATGCAGATGTCCCGCCTTTTTGCACAATGTTTTTATATTTAATTATCAGCTGCTGCCAAGTGCGCTTTTGTCCCGCTGGATTGCACCTACATAAAATAAATTTATTTGCTCCATGCACGCAGTTTCCCTGCAACAGTCTGTCACTGTGATTGCACAAGACTAGATTTAAAGTTACGCATTGACGCGAGCAGCGATTTCCTCCCATGCCCTCTCCCTCTCCTTTGCAGCTGCTGCTGTACTTTCTTTAAAAACGTGCTGTAATTCGCTGTTGGCTTGCTGCTGCCCCCTCCTTCTCACTGTTTCCATTGGTTGATCAATTAATCTGGGCTCCACAGATGCTGGCTGTTTATGTCTGGCGTGCACGTGCTTAACTCCAGGTCAAACTACTCGGAGTTGTTAAAACCGTCTCAAATCAGGTGTTGTGAAACCGGAAACTCAGAGTTTCCTAACTCAGAGTAGATCAACTCAGAGTTAAGGATTTAACTCAGAGTTTGTTGAACCACCTACGTGAAACGGACCCCTGGTGTTGGACAGACCACTTAATTCAGCTTCTTTCTGAACACCTATGTTCTAAACAAACATAAATCCAAAACCACTTTCTGTTGAAATGTTGTAGTATGTTGTTGAAATGTTGTTTTTTACAAAAGTCTCATGAGATGATGAATGATGCCACTCTTACATTTATCCAAGAAATACATGACCGGTGTCAACAGTCTTGTATTTCAGATTTTCAAAGTTTGAGTTGGTCTCAGAATAACAAAAATCTACACAAACAAACAAACAAACCATAGATTAAACACCTCTGTTAAGAATCAGGGGTCCGTTTCACGTAGGTGGTGGCAGCTCCTCTGCCTCCGTTAAAGGTGGGGCTGCTGGACCACCACCCGTTTTTGTGTTAGTTTAATATTCCTAATCATTTAACGGAACATAATAAGAGAGTAAAATTCAGTTTTGAGTGTGAAAAGAGCATTTTTAAGGGATCAAACTGCCACTTAATACTTACTTGACAATGTAAAACATGATCAAAATGAGAAAATGCCGATGTCTCACCTGAAACTCTGGGTTTACTGGGTTAAACCTGCTCCCGAGCAGGTTAGGTTCACGGAGTCTGTTACTGTGGTAACTGACCGCGAGGTTGAGTTACCTCTCTTTGTGAAACAGGTTAGAGTTACCCCTCTCTCCCTGGTTTAACTAACCCTCCTTTGTGAAACGGAAAACTCAGAGTTTCCCTGATTTCAGGGTTAACAAACTCGGAGTTTCCACTAAACCTGCTACGTGAAACGGACCCCAGGTCAGTGTCAAATTAAAGCTCCTGTCAGGAACTTCTAGTTTTGGCAATTTTGGTGCCTCCTGCGGATGGCCTTTGTTTGTCTCACCCTCCATATGCTTAAGTCATGTTTTTTTGACAAAGATTCTCAACCTGCTGACTTTTGACAGTCAAATGTTTCATTTCTTGCAAATATTTTTTGAGAACATCACTGCTTAGCTGACACCTACACTGATATAGAAATCGCAAACCTTGTCACCAACAGTCATGTTTGCTGTTGTTTACCGCAAAATGGCATCACTTTAAATTTCAGTTAATTATGCAAACATAAAAAAAACTCCTCACAGGACCTTTAATGTAGAATTGAAAAAAAAAAAGATAGTCATTTATTTGGCTGGTTTGAGTTAGTCCTGGCTAAGCCTGACCTTAAGTTTCATCATCACTATGAGATGTATGAGATGACCATATTCTAAATTCCCAAAAAGAGGACATGACTACGTGGGGGCGGAGTCATGGAATCACACATAGTAAAATTTGAGTTTTTTTGGTCGGATCGAGTGCTTTTTACACGCTCCTAACACAGTAAGTCCATGTGATACAAACTCAAAACTTCTATACGAAATCCTGGACATTTAAAGGATTCTATAAACTCCCCCAGACAAGACCACCCCCCCAAAAAAGAGGACATATTCGGGTAAAAGGATGAATGGTTGCCCTAGTATACGAACTTAACAGCGACGATGAAGCTTATAACCTATCAGAGCTATTTCAGTTTGTCTTCGACTTTGTTCTTTTCTTGGAGAAAACAAAATAGTAAAAATGGTTTGCCTTACCAATTGATAGTGCTAGACTAAGTGGTTCAGAGCTATAGCCAAGCTAAACCAACTGGTTGTTCAGTTGTTGTATTGAGAGATATTGATCCTCTCAGCTGCTTTTAGGCAAGGGAGGTCAAGGATCAATTTATCTGTGGAGTGCTGTTTTTGTTTCTTACTTTGAAAGTCGCGCTGCAGGACAAATATGTTCAAAACAATAGGTCTGGATAATCCTGACTTTTTGTACTTTTCATAAAACAAGAAAATAGGATCTCAGCCAACTTTGATAATGCTTATGTACACAGCTGGAACTCCTTCCACTTGCCTCCCTGAGAAGTTCCTGAGTGCGTTTGTGTATCCATGGAGATGATCCCCCCTCTGTTTCTCTGGAATGTTTGCAGTGTGCACAAAGAAGACAAGATCAGCCCAAATACCTGGGGTCTGTGCTTGGGCCTGCTGAGGGCCCCCGGCTGTATGACTGTCTGAGTCTGTGAATCCGCCTCCTGACACAGAAAACAAGCACATCTGGTAGGAGCCACATAATCCTGCATAATAAGCTGCTATGCGCTGGTACCATGGGCTGGGACAAGTTGCACTCATTAGACCATGTCATGCAGTAATGAGCATGAAGACTTATACTTGCTATTGGGTGAAAAAAAGGAGTGGGGAGTCATGGCGATCTGAAGTAAACCAGGCTGACAGAGTGAGGGAGGGAACACATGTGAGCAGTTAAAAGGGTGATTCAACAAGCTCTTTGATATCTGCCATTAGTGTGATTACAGCTGGCACACTCCCTGATTAAAAAACGCTTTTTTGTGTGAAGGAATGCTCAGAAAAAAAACTAATTAGGGAAAATGAAACTTTCATTTTCCATTTAGCTAACAAATGAAGTTGACAGTTATGTGTACGCTTAAGACGGATGGGCTGCAGGAAGGGGCTAAATAACATACGGAGGGAAATCGTGCGAGACGGGGAAAGAGCAGGTCTGGTTTGGACCTGCAGACTCTAGTTTAACATCAGGTCTAATCCCTGGTGTCTGCACACTGTCGTAAATCTCTCTTTGCAGTGTTAACACACACACTAAGAGCGCCCTACCCAGCTGCAACCCTTCTCTCCCACCCTACCAAACACACATGTTCACATACTAATACTAACTCTGCACCCAGCACATTAACATGACCTGCTTTCCCATATACAACACCAAGCACAGTTATTGATCCCTAAGTCCCTGTTAAAGCTGCAGCGGGCCGTGAGTTTAAAAAAAGAAACTCTGGTTGCACCTGCTTAAACTTCTGCTTGCTTTTCTGCATCTAAGCAGTGACCTGGAAGGGTGAAGCATAAATCATTGACACAAACAAATACGCTACAAAAGCCATGAAATTTGCCTCTACTTTGACTCTTTTGGAGAGGCACAAACAGTAGTAGTGTGCACTGTAGTTGGCCTTATATATATATATATAAAAAAAAAAGTCATAAAAGAAACCAGATGAAGAGAGAACAGGGAGAGGCTGGAAAGAATTAGTTTCTCCAAAAGTTTGGTCATTGACATTCCCTCTGATGTGCTTGGAAGTCTAGGATCAGAAATCAGACACAGATCTGGGCCTAAAAAGTGGAACTAACAAGGAGAGTATGCTTCAAGAAGGGTCAAATCAAAAACTGATGTGCAGGGTGAAAGCTTGGACTTGAGGGAAAGAAATACAACTGACCTTCGGGCATTACCTGTGCTTTTCCTCTTTCACAGTCACTAACTCAACCTGCTGAAAGACTGTAAACAAGGCCTCCCCTCTGAGAGCAAAGCCCTCATTTATTGCAGGGCTGGCCTCTCACTGGCACATGTACCGAGGAACGGACTTTTACTTGCTTTTGAGCCGAAACAGACTGAACTAATAAAGAAAGTTGCCATGGCCTCTGGTTGACCACATGCATATTACTACAGTGATGAATATTCTGTAATCCGTCATCTTTCTCAAAAAAGGCAGTTTTGATATAGTTAGGGAACAGTAAAACCCTTCTGAAAGGATGTCAGTTGTCTCCTTCACTTTATCATTCTGGGTGAGATTATAAAGGGGATTAGAGATTCCTGTTGTAGCGTGCCTGTGGCTGACAGTATGGCTCCTGGGGAACAGTGAGCTGGTACAAGATATTACTACAGCACAATGAGAGCACTGTAATATGCCAGCACTAAGGCTTGGAAAAACACAGCGCTCCACACTGACTAGGTAAATATTTGATGCACTCTAATCAGGCGGTTACATACGAATGCATATAACACACAGACAGCAGATCAAATTAAATAACAGTGTTTTATCAAAAAGGACAAGAGAAGTTGGAATGTTACAATGCACATTAAATAAGTGGAGCACAAATTTTCCAAAACAGGTCGTTGGATAATATTTACATCATACTTACAACATGTACAGAGTGTACCATACACCTGTGAGTTTAAGGCTTAATGCAATTCATAAACAAGAGCAGGTGCTGCTGTGTCAATGTACTATGCAAAAAGATTTCTTTGAAAAAGCTAGCCACATGTTAACAGAAATCCAATTTTGCAAAAGTCAAATTAAGTTAAGGCTTGGGAGTTTACCGTTAGAACAACTAAACAGAAGGCAATAACCGGGATACAGGGGAAGGGCTGCGTTATGAAGTTCTAGTCATAAGTAGAAGGATAAGAAATGTGAACTAGGACAGGATCAACTGGCCTTACTCATTCCTCTCTGTGAGAGGACAGTGACAAACTGAGGAGCTTATAAACATGTGTCAAATTTACTCATTTATAAAGTAGGCAACACATTCTATTCACAAGAGGTAGTTCTGCTGGATATTCAAGACAGCTAAGATTAATGCGCATTAGTTGAGTACAGGTTTGCCAGTTTCATAACACCGTGCAGACGACGAATCTATCACCTGTGCTGAACGCTCACAGCTGGCTGTACTTTCCTTTGCAGTGTAAAATGTGTTTGTATAATCTGTCTATTCTGTCCTGGAGAACAGCGGCGTGTTCCTCAGAGAGAAATCCTAATTCCACGGACAAAGGCTCGCTGTCCCTGTAGAGCTCCAGGAGCTTTTTCCTGGAGTCTCTGCGCTTGTGCAGCTCCGCCACGCGCTGCGTTGTCCTTTTCCTGAACACACACACTGAGCTCAGCACTGTACTGTGATATTTCTCCCACATGTTCAGCACCCGGAACCCGTGCACGAGCCCGGCCTCGTTGTCTATAAACACAAGGTCACCGCGTGGTGTTTTTAGGAGGTTGTTCGTGTCCCTCTCCATTACGCGCGAGTCCCACTGCAGGCTGAACAGATTGCTGACCAGTCTGTCGAAGTTAGCGGTCAGGTAGTCGAAAATGATCAGGTCTGACCACTGCATCAGCTCCAACAGCTCCGCCGTCGTCTTGTTCCAGAGCTCGTGCAGCACAGGATGCAGCCCGCTGCTCTCCTGTCTGAGCGGAGCAGGTGTGACCACCCCCGTCAGGTTTGAGACCCACTTAGTGAGAGAGACCACGGCTCCATCGCTCCACTGTAAACCGTCTATTCTCGCCCTCACTGCATCCCATTGTTCACTATCAGCGCTCAGCTGGGACAGTATGAGAGGAGGCAGATTTGTGATACCGAGCAAACTGGCGAGGTAATAAGTCAGAGTTTCTCCTTGCACCTGATCCGCATTGATCCCGTAACGCACACACGCTTTGGTCCCATCTGCAAAAGTGGCGAGCTGGTTGGATATCCTGCCGCATCCGGGCTCCAGCTTCACCACCGGCTGTGTCCTCGCTCTGTCTCTCCACGCCTGAGCATATTCCTCAGTGAAGCCCGCAGGGAGCAGATCCTCCAGCCATTCGCTCCAAAATATCCCATCCTCCACCGGGGAGCCCAACTTGACCGGGCCCTCCCGTCGTTCTGACCTCTTGTTATCCCCATTCACATGGTAATCTCGACTTCCTGCAGAGACGGTTTGATCCGTGAGGTTGTGCGCCTGAAGTCTGCCCCCCAAGCGCGGTCTTTGTGCCGCCGGGACGGCGAGCAGTACCCGGAAAGTTTTGGCAGAGAGGTCCACAGGGAGACCTTGGTTCAAAGACCCCGCAAACCTCCGTTTATGTCGATCCAAGCGGCTCTCTAACGCGCTCCAGACATAAAAAACACTTGCAAGGGCGCACAGGAGAAGGAAAGCGAACAAGTTTGCTGAAAGCGCCCTCATGATAAAGACCACCCGTCTCTTCGTACACCCACAGATCTACTGCAGGTTTAAAAAAAGATAGCGCAAACTGTCCCCAATCGACAGTTTAGGTTTGAGCTCTGCAACCCACGTCCCACACACCCCCTACACCGAGATCACAGGACGAAGAGGGTCTCCGAAATAGTCTGTATCTCATCTCCCGTCCTGCTCAGACGCCTTATCACACCCCTCCTCTGCGGGCAACAGAGGGAGCATTTCGGATCACTGCAGCGCGCATCCTCCATCAAACGTTCTCCATTATAACTCTCCGTCGTCCAAGCGGCTTTCTGTCCGTGTTCACCTCTCCGTTCCTCATCCTCCTTTCTCTCTCCGCCGGGCGCTGGATGAGTTTGATTTGTGGTGCTGTCGGCTCACAGAGAGACACTAGGCGGGGGGGACACGTGACTCCAGTCCCGAGATGGTGGGCGGATCGTGGGAAGGAGGGTTCAGAGAGGAGAGGAGCAAGTGCACCGCGCTGCGTTTTGTGAGCATTTGTGTGTGTGATGTGATGAGAGAGGATTGTGTGGTATTGGCAAATGCGGCCATTATAATAATTGAAACCTTGTGTGGAAATACTTTGGGAATAAAGTCACTATTCCAAACAAATCATATTCCGTGCCTTTGCACCGAGAGTAATATCGTTTTTAGTGGGCCAGAGGGCCCGGCTGAATGTAGTTCACCCGAATCTGTGCACAGTATTAATCCACCTTTCAAAGTCTGTTATTTATGGTTTGAGGTCATTGTGGATCAGGAGAAGCACTACAATCAGCACATCTCTTTAACCATTTTCTCTGTTTTTCAGCACACTGTTTTTTGTTTGTTTTTTTACTATAAAATCACCAGTGGTTTAAATAGTGACTTCAGTCCATGTAGTCTCCGAATGGTTCTTTAGAAAGTCAGTCCCCTTATTTTTGAGACTTGAAAAGAGCGCCATGTAGGTCAAAGCAATTCCCCCCTTTGCAGCAGTTGTTTAGGGGGAATAAATGATGAGATATTCAAAGGAACAATTACTGTGGCAGATAACTTTTGTCTGCTAAAATAACACTCCTCTAAGTTTTCCTTAAAGTCACATGACGTGAAAGGAAATGGTCTGAGCCCTGCATGTTACTTCTTTACTTGCATTAATCCTATCAAACTCTAATTTGCACCGAAGTCTGCACACTTTTTTCACACCACCTATCACTGCGCAATGCGACGTCAAAATGACATCTATTTCACGTATTTTGACGATGATGAGGTACAAATGTGGATGTCATTTCAACGTCTAAAAGTGGTCCAATAATGACGTCTAAATCTTGGATCCATTTTGCATGCTGTGCCGACGTCTAGATTTGGTCTATAAATGACGTCCAAATTCTAAACGTCAGAGCGACATCTAAAAAAGGTCCAATTTGGACGTCAAAATTCTAACCTATTTTGCACGTCTCACTGATGTCTAGATGTGGTCAGTATTTGGAGGGACCGACCCGATACTGACTTGACCTACACGTCTCTTCGACGTACAATGTTTGGTGGGATGGCTTTCCCATGACATACTTAATACAAACACCCCGCCTCACTGTTCGACAATTCGTGCCCCTGTTTTGTATTCCACAAGAACACCTTTTTTTCAGTTTCTGCTGCTAAATATTTGATCATTTTCCCACTTACACCCAGAGCAAAATAAAGCCAACCGCTTGTTTCATCTTTGTCCTCTGCTTTTGTTAAACCAAACGAAACATGCATGCAAACTCCTTTATGCGCATCTGCCTCATTAAATTATTCCTCATTAGCATCCCCCCACACTCTTTACCATTCGGCTCGTGCACCCACACTCTATATCTTGAACCACGGTTTCCTAATCAAATTAATTGGGTCATTTTTATAGCAACATCCTGCCATGCTAAATTGCCTGAGTCAAAAAGACAGCAGCAGACAAAGAGAGTTAAATACATCCAGTAAACTAGAAGTCTACTAATGTCTGCCTTTAATGCCTGCAGCTCTAAAATGTTGAACTTCATGCAGTTGTTTATATTTGGATCATAGCTGGAAGAGATTCATGAGAATGCAGACTGTCTCTGTAGTGTATCTTTGACTGCCTAACAACATACCAGGCTAGACAGAATACAACTTCTTGCAGACGGGCAGAGGAAATGATCCTGTTTCAGTCACATTGCACATGTAGATTTCACTTCTGTTTCACCAAGTAGGGTGGTATGGGATTGTTTGCCATTGGCAGACTTATTTGTTCAATTTACAGCCCGTGTTTGAGTGTGCGATGCAAATTGACAGCAGCGGCAGTGCAGTGCGGACAAAACATTTTTTTTTTGCTTTTGCACAAGGAAAGAGGAGGGAGCAAACAAATCTGAGAAACACCAACAAGGGCGTGTGTGTGTGTGTGTGTGTGTGAGAGAGAGAGAGAGAGAGAGAGAGAGAGAAAGAGAGAGAGAGCTTGTTTTTTTTTTATTTAAATGAAAGACAAAAGAGTGGGTCATAGCAGGGGTTGGATTTTTTCGTCTGGTTTTAATGACTGTTTGACACCATAGACTGTATACACTATGGACAATTTGGTTCCACCTTCCATCGAATTGCTCTCAGTATTTCTAGGATTTTCTTCACTTCCTGGAACCACCACTTGCGCAGTAGTGTTGCACGCATTTGGCGGGAGAGCTGTTTGATGACGCTCAGCTCAAACACCATATCAATCTTCATACGCCCATAGGCTGCATCAAGTGTCAATCATAGAAAACATGAACCTTTTAATAACTTTTAGAAATAGAGCTGTACAGAAAAAAGAGGACTTGAGCACAAACCAGTCTTACAGTAACTACATGTCAACATCGCAACCAAGGGGGAGAATAATTTATATTCTGTGTACTACATTTCTAAAATTTGTCCACAGCTCCATAGGGATTTGCTGGAGGAGGCGGGATTTATGACCTATACTGCAGCCCGTCACCAGATGGTGCTGTTCTCATGGTGGTTTCACCCACCGGGAAGGCAGACAGCGTCCATTCTACATACAGTCGGGTAACCATATTCTGAGTCCCCAAAAAGTTTTTCGTGTTGGGTCGAGTGTTTTTTATGTGCTTTTAACTCAGTAACTCCACGCCACACAAACTTAAAACTTCAATACAAAACCCTGGACATTTGAAGGATTTTTTAAACTCCCCCAGACAAAGCCAGACAAGGCCAAACAGGCTGTACAACCCCTCAAAGAGAGAACATGTCCGGGTAAAAGAGGACGTATAGTCACCCTAATATACAGTCTATGTTTGACACAAACTAGCCTTCATTGTAAGACAGCTCAGGATACTCAGGGACCTTTTTTTCAGTGCTTTGCTCCTTATAAACTCCAACAAAACTTTCTGTAGAACTTTTCTCACAACTCTCATCTTGTAAAAAGGTTGCACACAAAAAAAAAAATCCATCTTCATATACAGTACATTTGCATAGAAATGCACCATGAATCTTTGTTACAATGACAGGTAGTAAAAAACAAAATGCCTCTAAACAACTTAGTCCCAAACCTCTCAGACTGTTCCTTATAGTCTAACTAGTTTCCCCAGATCAAAATATTCCCCAAGCTTTCCCTCTCTCTACAAACCTTTCTTTCTTTCAACACAAATTCAGTTTGAGTCTTAGCCTGCAGGTGGATTTTTTCCATCAACTTACACTAAATTATAGATTTTTTTATTCAGGTCTTGATTTGATAGTTGTTTCTGTTTAAGTCAGTAAAGTCCTGGCTTGTAATTATATTCCTTCCCATATGATATGATTTCTTACTTTTCCACTTGATAACAGAATACATCCCAAAATACTAGCCATAGCCTAACAAAGAGACTTACTGCAAACATAAAAATGTAGGCAAATACAGGAAGACGGCTTTAAGTATATCAAGTTTTCACTTAATGCAAACAGCCCTGTGAAAACACCACTCAGCTGCGGCCTTTTTGCTCCCCTCCACTTTCACTTTAAAGCTGTTAGGTCTAGACATAGGAAATGAAGACGGCTTAAGTGCATTGTTGGAATTCTGTCTGATGTGTGTTGCTTTTAAGGAGTGTGGAGTAACTTCATTGACTCTCAGCCTGCAGCAGCTCAACTCACGGTGTCCCTTTTCCCTGAGCACAAGTGCGGGCATGTTCTCATATCAAACCTATCTGTTTCTTGCCATGTGTTATCTGCAGGTCAGCCAACCTCTGAGCCGCCCCCTCCCTGCTTCTGCATTCCTCCTTCTGCTTTCCTCATAAATCCCGCAGCAGTCCCAGGAGGGTCGTAACATCAGGGGGAACGCCTTCCTCCAGCAGTCATGGCTGTCCGTGGTCAAACGCTGCAGTGACACAAGAGAACCCAGGCCGTCTGTCATCCTGTCCGCAGTGAAACCATCAGCGGCCATCTGACCACGCCACAGCTGTGACACAATCTCGGTCTCTCTGCGTGGTGCCTGTCTGACTCTACAGATGGACGCAAAGAGGCGAAGGAGACATAAAGGGATGGGGACAGAGGAGGAGAAAGAGCAGTGGGCCCCTGTCACGTCCCTTGTAGTCTAAGGTTAGTTCACACTGAGCAATATCTCATAGGTCCCTTGACACTCTGCAGCACTCTGTTTCCTGGACTGAATAATGAATGTGCGGGCCTTCCATTAGCGTTGAAAGCTGCGATTATTTCACAGGGCTCCACAATTACTCATGCTAAGGGATTCAGCGATGGAGGTGGTGGTGGGGTGGGGTAGGGGGGTGATCCGTGGGGATGAATCCATCGTCTCCTGGTTTCACATGGTTAACAAAAAGATCTGTGTGAGTGCTCTTTGGACATGGATGTGCTGGTATGCAATTATTCTCAAAAATAGTGAGCAGAGCAGATAATAAGAAGGAGGTCTGGTGGTTTCATTTAATATTCTGGTGGTGTGCATGTATGCACACAGTTCTGTCAATACCTGCCTTGAATCCAAGAACTGGGATATTGCCATCTGTTCAAGAAGCCCAGTGTGTGTGTGTCTTTTCTCAGACTGCTCGCATTTGGCCGTGTTGAGCTTACAGTTAAAGATGTACCATAGCTTGAAATCTTGGAGTGAGAGACAGGGCATTTCCTCTAACCACTGGAGGCAAAGACACAGTCTTGTCAGACTTCACCTAAGCCCTTATCTTAAGAAATCCTCTGAAACGCTGCATGAATCTCATCAAATCAGCCATAGAGTCAGCACTCTGGTTTCCTGGATACATTTAGAGTCCAGGCATTGCTGGTGTGAAATATGAAAGGTTTTGCACATGAAATCTCAAACATAGTGTTCTTGGATCATGTACTTTTTTGAAGGCAACAGCAGTCTCCCACCAGGGTCTCGGAGGCTGCGAGCAGAAACAAGCAGCCCATGCAGCATCAAACCGAAACTGTTGCTACATGAAGCGATCGGCTGCACCGCTGGGACCCAAACATGGCACTCAGCCATCTAAGTGCTGCCGTTTTTCCACCAGTTACTGTGGTTTGCATTGCCTCAGCCAATTTCCTGAAAGGCT